GGGGGGGGGGGGGGGGGGTTTCCAAGCCAGCAAGAATTTTCAATTGGCCATTATTTAAAATGCTCTTTTGCCTTCTGATTCAGGGAAGCTGAAGCGTAACCTGCGCGACCGTCAAAGGCAAATGCAAGCGGAAAAGATGAAGATCCGGGCTACAGGCAGCGAGTTCTAGTCTCACCCTAGAGGTGAAAAAGGCACCTGGCGGACTGGGGGCCGTTCACCAGGAGACAGAGAGTTCTAGCCCCGCTTGAGGCATGATAGCGCCAACTGGGTGACTTTGGGCCAATTCTTAGGAGACGGTGAGTTCTAGTCCTGCCTTAGGCCGGGTGACTTTGGGCCAGTCCCTCTGTCTCACCCCCCAGCCTACCCCACAGAGTTGTTGTAGGGATCTGGCCGGGAAATGGGGAGAGTTGAAGTCCCCCCCACCCCCTTGAAAGAGATTTAAAGAGGAGGAAGATTCATCCGTGGAGCAGCAGCAGCCGCTCACAAAGTGGGACTCACAGTTGGGCGCCTGAGGCATCAAGGGGGCCTGATGGGGGGGCGGATGCTGCCCTCCTTCCGGCTGCTCGGGGGGCGGCTGCGACTGGGTGGGCAGGGAGGCGCGCAGGACGTCCATCCGGCAGGTGGGGCAGGTCTGCTGGCGCTGAAACCAGGATCGGAGGCAGCTGAAGAAGAGGAGAACCCCTTGCCGTTCTAATGGGTGACTTCAAAACGGCCTCCCAGGTTCTTCTCTCTCTCTCTCTCCTTCTCTCCTTTTTCTCTCCTCCTCTCTCCTTCTCCTCCTTTCTCCTTTTCTCTCCCTCCCTCCCTGTCTCTCCTCTCCTTCTCTACTTTTATCTTTCTCCTTTTCTCTCCTTTCTCATTCTTTCTCCTTTTCTCTCTCTCTCATATTCTATTTCCTTTTCTCTCCTCTCTCTCCCTCCTCCCATCTCTTTTTCTCTTTTTCTTTTTCCTTTTCTCTCTCATATTCTGTTTCTTTTTCTCTCGCCTCTCCTCTCCTCTCCCTCCCCGTCCCTCTCTCCTCTTCTCTCCTTCTCTTTTCTCTCCTTCTCCTTTTCTCTCTCATATTCTATTTCCTTTTCTCTCTTTTTCTCTCTCCTCTCCCTCGCCGTCCCTATCTCTCTTTTTCTCTCTTTTGTTCCTTTCCTCTCCTCTTTCTCCCTTTCTCTCTCTCCTTTTCTCTCCTCTCTCATTCTCCTTTCTCCTTTTGTCTCTCTCTCATATTCTATCCCCTTTTCTCTTTTTCTCTCTCTTCTCCTCTTCCTTCCGTCCTCCTATTTCTCCTTTTCTCTCTTCTCTCCCTCCCTCCCTCTTCTTTCTCTCCCTCCCTCTTCTTTCCTCCCTCCCTCCCTTCTCTCTCTCTCACACACTCCTGCAGACTAGTCAAGCTTCCAAGTGCACCCAGATTCCCTCGTTTTCTATTTCCTTTTCTATTTAAAAGACAAAATGAAACAAAACCACTCCCCGCCTCCCACCTGGTATGGAATATGTGATTGCACGGCAGACGTTTCGCACCCATCACCATCTCTTCCCGGCAGATGATGCAAACATTGTCCATGGCCTGCAGTTCTTCTGGGGTGGCATCGGGGTACCTGAGGAGAATAAGGCCAGAGACCCCTGAGTTCCTTCCCTTCTCCCAAGCACAGCCCAGAGCCGACGTGGTGGAGAGCAGAAAGGCTGCTGGGAATTTTTGGGATAGACGTGTTTGTGTGTGGAGTTCAACTAGGGAACAGTTTAATGCTGATGTAAAAATCTTGCTGCCTTTATGTTCCAGTGGTGCTTTTTCAAAAAGGAACTGGACTCCCTTTGTTTTTCCTTTTAAGGCATTTCGCTTCTCATCCAAGAAGCTTCTTCAGTTCTGACTGAAGGATGATGAAAGGATTTATATTCGTTGCAATCCTCCGGTCATCAGAACTCTTTCTGAGAATTGGTAAGGCCGCTCGGGAGGTTTATCTGGGCCCGCAGGATCAAACGGGTGTGGAACCTTCCTGGAACTGCTGAAAGGAGCTGGGTTGTAAGCAGGAGAATGACTCTCAGGAAGAGCACCAACGACCAGAGGGCCGCAAGGAATATAAATCCTTCTATCCCCTGCCATTCAGTCAGAACCGAAGAAGCTTCTTGGATGAGAAGCGAAATGTCTTCAAGGAAAAACAAAGTCCAGTGTTGCCTTTTTTTGGGGGGGGAAAAAACAATATTTGGGACAACCATGACCTGCATGACTGAGAACCTCCATAAACATTTGCTGCCTATATATTTAGGCCCTGGGGCTGTTAATGTATACATAAGGATCTTCCTTATGGAATAAGGATCACTCTTTAACACCCATCGCCTCCCACTTGTGACTGCATGACTGTAACTTTGTCGCTTGTATTCTTACGATTTTTAGTGACTGTTTCCTAGTATGATTTGATTGCTTATTGTACCCTATAACTATCATTAAGTTTTGTCCCTTATGATTCTTGACTCTTGACAAATGTATCTTTTATTTTTATATACGCTGAGAGCATTTGCACCAAAGACAGATTCCTTGAGTGGCCAATCACACTTGGCCAATAAAGAATTCTATTCTAATTCTATTCTCTATTCCATTCCATTCCATTCCATTCCTTCATTCCAATTTCTATTCTATTCCATTCTATTCTGCATTCTATTCTGCATTCTATCTGTTCTGCATTCTATTCTATTCTATTCTATTCTATTCTATTCTATTCTATTCTATTCTACTCTACTCTATTCTATTCCCAATTCTATTCTGCATTCTATTCTATTCTATTCTATTCCCAATTCTATTCTATTCCATTCCATTCCATTCCATTCCATTCCATTCCATTCCATTCCATTCTATTCCCAATTCTATTCTGCATTCTATTCTATTCTATTCTATTCTATTCCCTATTCTATTCTATTCTATTCCATTCCATTCTGCATTCTATTCTATTCTATTCTATTCTATTCCCAATTCTATTCCATTCCATTCCATTCCATTCCATTCCATTCCATTCTATTCTATTCTATTCCCAATTCTATTCTGCATTCTATTCTATTCTATTCCCAATTCTATTCTATTCTATTCCATTCTATTCTGCATTCTATTCTATTCTATTCTATTCTATTCTATTCTATTCCCAATTCTATTCTATTCCATTCCATTCCATTCCATTCCATTCTATTCTATTCCCAATTCTATTCTATTCCATTCCATTCCATTCCATTCCATTCCATTCTATTCTATTCTATTCTATTCCTTCCAATATTCTATTCCTTCCAATATTATTCTATTCTATTCTATTCTATTCTATTCTATTCTATTCTATTCTATTCTATTCTATTCTATTCTATTCTATTATTCTATTCTATTCCCAATTCTATTCCATTCTATTCTGCATTCTATTCTATTCTATTCTATTCTATTCTATTCTATTCTATTCTATTCTATTCTATTCTATTCTATTCTATTCTATTCAACTAGGAAAGAGATTAAACTCAAATGTAAATTTTTTTTTGTTGCCTGCATAAGGGACCTTCAGCTAGGAAACAGGCCAGACACTCCTCAAATACTCACAGCGTGTTCATGTTGCGGATCGCTCGGCGAGACATGATCGCATCGGTGACCGCCTTTTTGAACTGCCTAGGAGGGAAGAGAGCCAAGAGTTATTAGTCCTCAGGGGGTGAGCAGGCAGGCAGGCAATGTCGGGGGAGGGGGCAGAGGGGGTGGCCCTGAAAGACTCTTCAGCCGCGGAAAGGGGCAGAACTGCCGCTATGCATCCCCCCGATTCTCCTGGGCTGGGACTCACCTCATGGCCAGGTACATAGGCCGGATGGCGAAAAGAGGGAAGGTGTGCACTTTGATCATAATGGTCATGAAGGCCATGTAGAGGAGGACCTTGATGAAACCTTGGGAGGAAAAAGGATATGAATTATTATTTTTTACTTCCAGGTCACGGCCCAAAAGACCCCTTGGTCGACGTTCTGACGGGGGAACCCGACCGAAGCAAGCACGGTCGAGAACGATATCTGAATGCCAAACTTTATTCGGGACATCCATTTCGGCACCGAGGAGGGGAAAACCAGATCGGGCTAATTCCCACGCAAAACCACATACCGTATTTCTCAGAGTATAAGACTCAGCCAGCTTTTGGGGAGCAAAACAAGGAAAAAGAAAATCTGCCTCTACCCCCCCCCCAAGCCATTTGCTTCCTTGCAACAAACAGCAAGGTCCGCTTCAGCACTGTCTGATTACCACAAGCAGCTGACTGTCGGTTCAACCGGCTTCCGGACGATCAGCTGTTTCAGGCTGCAGGAATGGCCATCACCTATTGCTACCCCATTTTCAGCCTCCGCATCCTGTTTTCGGCCTCTGCCCGCCCCATTTTTGGCCCGTTCCGGGCAGCGCGGATCAGAACTGGCAGAAACCAGGGTGCGCGGAGGCCGAAAATGGGGTACGCAGAGGCCATAGGCAAGGGCGATCCCTGCAGCCTGAAACAGCTGATCGACGGGAGGCCGACTGATCTGACCATCAGCTGCTTGTGCTAATCAGGCTGTGCTGAAGCGGACCAGGTTTGCTGCAAGGAGGCAAAATGGCTGGGAGGCAGAGGCCAAAGGGTAGGGGCTGGCAGGAGGGCGGGGTTTCGGCAATATTCACTGTATAAGACACACAGGTATTTCCACCCACTTTACTCTGAAAAATACGCTAATTAAAGCATAGGATTCTCGCTCCTCCCCCTATTAGTGCAGGTTACACGGTCCAATTGACTCTCATTTTATTGTTATGAGAAAACGTCTTTGGTTTTGGCAAACGCCTGCAGAAGCGTCCTTGGCTCTCATGGTTCGTCTTCTTGATGTCTACATTGCATCTCACCCTTCCCTCCCCCCTGGTTTGTTGGCAAGCTGAGAAACGGTAATGGTTGCAACCGCAAAAGCGCGCTTTGAACCTGACATCCTTAAAATCAAGGTAGAACACAGGTAGCCCTTGACTTACGGTCAAAATTGAGTTCAACGTTTCTATTGCTTAGCGAGGCAGCCGTTAAAGTGAGCGGGGCTTCCTTCTGCAACCTTTTGGCCACAGTTCTGCCGTTATTTAAGTGAATCACATGGTCATTAAATGAATTATTGACTTTGCTTCTCAGAAGCCGGCGAGGAAGGTTACAAATGCGGATCCCATGACACCTGGGACAATGCAACATGCCAGTTGCCAAGCGCCTGAATTTTGATCACAGGACCACTGCAAAGATCGTGAAGTGCGAAAACTGGTTCGAAGTCCCTTTTTAATTTTTGAAACGGTCCTTAAAACAAATGGTTGTAAGTCAAGGACAACCCGTATGCCTCAGCTGCCAGCATACCTACTTTCTTGGGATAGATGGGATGGATTTGGGAAAGGGGGTGGGGTGGGGTGTCTTTGTACTTCATCCCCGGATCCATTTACCCGTGAAGAGTTCTGTATAGAGCATGAAGACGGCCTTGTTGTCCCAGGGGTTCTCACTCTGGAGGTCGATGGAGTGCAGAAGGTATTTGATGAAGACTGTCAGCACCATCGTCATGAGGATGGCGTACTGTGGAGAGCCAAGAGGAGAAAAGGATTACAAAGCAGAATTTAGTAGAACAAGACTAAACACACACTTGGCTTCCTTCTAACACTGGAGTTAAGATCGTAAACCCAGTCCAGTGTCAACTCATAAAATATTTCTCTAGTTTTTTTTAAGAGTTGCTAGCAAGAAAGGGAGGGGGGGAAGTAGTGCATTCCTTAAATGTCTTCATAAGTAATTTTTAGACGACCGAAGTTTCTGGCGTGCAAAATTCTAACTGGAGAGTATGACTGGGTGACTCTTGGCTATGGACGTGTCCCATTGGAGAATATGAATTATGATACATCCAGGAGATGGGGTAGGGTGGGGGAACCAGGGTCAAGGGTGACAATGAATGATGTGTCTCAGAGTCGGCTACACCCAGGTAGCACCGGCATGTTCACTCCTAATAAATCTTCTGTAAGCTCTGAAAGATCTGGCTAGAGGGGCTAATTATTTAAATGGGGGTTGAATACCGGAGACCTGACATCCAGCTTCAGTTAGTGACAGCGACAGCATCACTTAACAACCAAGTTGTCGGGCCCAATTCTGGTCACTAAATGAGGACACGAGGATCATAGCTTGGGCGGGGGGTTGGACTAGATGACCTACAAGGGACCTTCCAACTCTGGTAATCTGTAATAGATAACTCAGGGGTGTCAAACTCAAGGCCCGTGGGCTGGATTTGGCCCACAAGGTGCTTAGATCTGGCCCGTGGGCCCACTCTGGAAACAGTGAAGGACCGCAGTGCCTCTGCCAGTGAGGACGGAGTTCAGGAAGGCTGCGCGCATCCTTCTGCCAGTGAAAACAGAAGCCGGGCTGCAGCAGGGCGTGGCAGCCGAAAACAGAACCTCGGTGAGTAGCTTCAAGCTGGCCATGCCTCCCCCCACAGGCCCCTGAGGTCAAACACAACCTTGATGCGGCCCTCAAAGAAATCAACTTGGACACCCCCGATATAAGCAAACTTCCCCAAATAAAACAAAGCACGCCAGAAACAGCTCCCAGGCCCACTGCTGATCGATCCTACATCCAATTATTATTGTTGTTGTTGTTGTTGTTGTTGGTATTTACTCACCTCAAAGCCAAAGACCAGCTGGACGGAAGCCCCCCTGGTCAGGATGCTGTGGTAAGCGTGGCTGACAAACAGGAAATCTAGGATGGCCAGAAGCACCATGAGAGCTAGGGAAGAAGAGAGGCCATTTTGTCACTGGAAAAGTAGAAAGGAGTGGAGGAAGAAGACACAAACTACACCTGAGATTCACAACGTCCCAGGGGACTACTGCAAAGTGCTCTGATTTCGTCATGTGATTAGATTTTATATCCTACCTTTCCATTAGAAGCTCCAGGCAGCATGCCCTGTTTCTCTCCTGTCCCTAAAACTACAGGTGGTTCCCGACTTACACCTGGTAACTCAGCAACCGTTTGAAGTGACAACAGATCCTGCAAAAGCTACTTACAACCTGGGTTCAAAGTTACAACAGTGTGAACTAAAAAGATACTCTTTTGGTCTTTTATAGCTGCCAGAAAAAAGGGAATGGGGGAAAGCAGGGCATTCCTTAAATGTCTTAGATGTCTTAGCCTTGGCAGCCCAAAGTTGTTGGCATGCAAAAATATTACTGGAGAGCATGATTGATGACTCTTGGCTATGGATGTGTCCCATTGGGGAATATACATCCAGGTGGGGTGGGGGCAAGACCAGGGTCAAGGGGGAAATGAATGATGTATTTTAGTGTCGGCTGCACCCAGCTAACGCCAACATGGCCATTCCTAATAAAACATATATTTTTTTACTCTGAGAAATGCGGCTAGAGACTTATGATTTGAATGGGGGTGGATTTGTTGGAGCCCTGACAGACGGCCACACACACACACCCTTCCATGGTCACATGATCGTATTTTTGACGTTCGGCAACCAGCTCACCTTGGTGGCCGTTTGCAGCATCCCGTGATCCCACAACCACAATTTTTTCCCCCATTCGTTTGCAGGTTTCTGGTGTTAACTTCCAGTTGCAGGCAAAAAAGCACCCGCAAGTTAAATTTGATTTCCCTTAATAATTGCAGGGTTTAATTGAATGATCCCCCTTGCAAAAAAAAAAAAAAATGTCATAAAATTAGGTTCAATCGGGTAAGCGACCTGCTTAATGACAATAATTCTGGGCTCAAGGATGGCCGTAAGTCAAGGGTGCCCTGTAACATGCCAGAAAGAAAACTGAGGTGCAGGAGGCCCTTTAACAACTTTGAAAACTGCCCAAAGCAGATATTTCTGGGGGTTTTTAATTACACTCATAAAAGTGGCTGTGTTTGGAAGTGCCAGATAATAATCATAATCATAATAACAATAACGACAGCTGAAAGTAGGGACTGCCAAGGGCACCTTAGGGCCTTTTGAATGCAAATAACCAAGCTAATTTTGACACGTAAATCACTACCCACAATTAGACTTCTGGAACATCTGCCTTATTTACAGTTACAGTTCAAACTGCGTTGGTGACTCCGTCTGTTTTTAGTCACTTGACCTCATCTGACCTTGGGGAAAAAAGAACGTAGCAGGCAAGGATGGCTCCGTCACTTGTCCAGCTACAAGTATTTTTAAACAAGGCAGCTGGTCCAGCAGGGACTCGACTGAGAAAGACATCAAAGGGTTGTTTAGACCCAACCTTTACTAAAATAAAGAGTTTGAAAGGGACCTTGGAGGTCTTCTAGTCCAACCCCCTGCTTTAGCAGGAAACCCTATACCATTTCAGACAAATAGTTGTCCAATCTCTTCTTAAAAGCCTCCAGTGTTGGAGCACCCACAACTTCTGGTGGCAAGCTGTTCCACTGGTTAATTGTTCTCACGCTCATGAAATTTGATTAATTTACATCCGTTGCTTCTTGTTCTGCCCTCTGGTGCTTTGGAGAATAGGCTGACCCCCAAATCATCTTTGTGGCAGTCCCTTTGTGGCAATCGTGTTGCTAACTTAACAACCGAGCAGTGATTCATAAGACATAAGAATTTATTTGTCATTACACTCGCAAGCGGGTGCAACGAAATGAGGTGCTCTTCCACAAAGTAAAACTGGACAAACACCACTAAAAAGAAAAAAAATTAAATTAAACACAACCAACCATACAATAATCTCTATGCAATTTAAAAATGTAAATACCCTTACTTAACAACAGTGGCAAGAAAGGTCATAAAATGGGGCAAAACTAACTTAACAACTGTCCTGCTTGGCAACAGAAACGTTGGGCTCGTCGATTGTAGTCGTAAGTCGAGGACTACCTGTGCAGACTCTGACCAGCTAGCCATAACTAGACATATCGGCGATGAAGCTGTTGTGAAATGAACTACATGCATAAAAGAAAAAATAAAACCGGAAGAGGGAAAAAAGAAACTCGTAAGAGAAACAGAATCACTCTAGCCTGGGAAATTATTTTCAGGTAGATTTTATGGCTCGATTCTCAAGAAGCCAAACTGGGATCCGGTCTCAAGCCACAACCAATCGACTGGAGAGAAAACAAGGTCAAAGGGATCACGGGAGAGTAAAAGAAAAGAAAAAACGTGATAGAAATTTAAATTTAAAAGAATAAATATAAAAGTACTTACAGACAATGCGGAAATGGAACAACCAAGATATGTTGGGACTTCTCTCCATCTAGAATAGAAAAAAAACAGCAAGTTTTTAAGGGGCTGGGGAATTCTGGGAGTTGAAGTCCACGCACCTCTTCAAGTGGCCAAGGTTGAGAAACCTGGCTTTGACATTTGAAGCAGAAAAGAACCAGTTTTATCTTGACCGGGTTAGAGTGCCTTGTGTTCGCACCCACCAACTTGAGTAGGGAATCACACTTACAAAGTCCACCCGGTCTTCAGCCAGCCAATGGAAGCACTTGAGGAAGAGGAGGAGGGTGAAGAGAGCCACAAAACGAGGACTGAAGTCATCCCTGAAGACGGTAAAGGCCAGGCAGGTCTCGGTCACGGCGTACCATGAGCGCTCGAGCAGATGCTGGATGTGAAAAGATGGGATTTTAAGATGCTGCTCAAACCAAAATTGATATCCTCCTGCCCTGCTGGTATAAATAAATCTCCAGATTTATATGCTATCAGCGTTCCAGCCACCCTCCATTCTGCCCAATAACTCAGAGACTGGCATCTTCTCAAAGGTTCCTTTTATTTTGGATAGTCAACTGGCACAACTGGGGAATCCCGAATCAGAAAGTTCCGGGCTTCCTTGCGATAAATCAAAACTACAAAATCCACCCTCTGCACCCATCATCGCATCACATGGCCCAATCACCGTCCCAAGTTAAGACTTCCTCTCACTTATGCGCAACACAACCTGACCTTGAATCAGAAAAAGAATGTTGTTATGTCTAACTAGATGTACTCCAATATATTCCCCCCTCCCACTTTCCCAGGCTCAGAGGTGGCAGCGTGGGAGCATCTGGTCTCAATATGGCTTCCAAAGCTGACATAGGTCTGGTGATGCCCTGGTGCCCTTCCACCTGGCATCACCCAGAGGAGGTACGATGCCAACTGTCAGAAATCCCAGCCAACGTGGCTGCAAGTTGTGAGCAGCCTGGAATCACCTGTGTGTGAGTTGGACGGCCACGTAAGTTTAATAAATAAATGAAAAATGAGTTAAGTTGTGGTTTTGGGAGCCCCAGAGCCTCTGGAGGTGTCCAGCTTGGAAGAAGGCCCCTTCTGTGGCTTCCCATTAAGTCTATTGCTATAAGGTGCCGAATTTGGCGACTGTGTGGCTCAGAATCTACTGGCCAGCTGCTGGATCACACAGAATTCTTCTTATATCCATAAATATCTACTACAATCTCCTCTCTTTCCTCACTCACTCCTTATAAGACTTGTGTATGAATCTGTTGGGTTTCTTTTAAAACTGCTGCTGTAAATGTAAATGTGAAACGCTTTCTAATGGCTGCGCTTTCTGTTGTCTTTCTCTCATTCTCCTTCCAGGTGCCTGTTGAGAAGGGAAGTGAAACCCAAATTGGTTAACAGCTAAATAAAAATGATTTTGACAAAGGAAATCCAGCTGGGTGACAAGCCACACACACACACACACACACACACACACACACACACACACACGGTTTCTACAATTAAAAGTATACTTTTTGTCATTTTGGCTCCGAAGGGAACAAATGAACTTAAACACTGGACACCAAGAGATCCTGAATATAGCTAGTCTTCCACTTACGACCACAACTGAGCCCAAACTGTTGCTAAGTGACACATTTGTTCAGTGATTTTGACCGGATTTTATGACTTTTCTTGCCAGGGTTCTTAAGGGAATAATTGCAGTTCTTAAGCTAGTCACACGATTGTCAAGGGAATCTGGTTTTGCTTCTCAGGACGTCACCAACGGGGATCATGTGACCCCGGGATGCTGCAACCGAGATAAATATGAGCCAGTTGCCAATGGCCAAATTTTAATCCCGTGTTCGCGGGGATGCTGCAATGGTCATAAGTGTGAAAAACAATCATGAGGCTTTTTTCAGTGCCGTTGTAACTCTGAACTGACTAAATGAACTGTTGTAAGTCGAGGACTACCTTAATTCTGCAACTGGATCTCTTCACATCCCTCGTTTCCACAGTCAAAACTGTTCCAATCAAAATTAGCTCCAGATTATTGGTGTGTGTGTTAATGACACCATACAAAAAAATTTAGCCAAAGAGAAAAAGCACTTAACTTTGTACAATTGGCTCTTTTTGTAGTTCATAAGCAAAGACGCAAGATTTGGGGGAACAGAAAAAGGGATGTCTTAATAATTGGTGCTCCAAGCTTCAAAATAGATGCTTCGTTGCAAAAGGACAGCAAAGTTTGCTGAAGCCCATTTAAGCACGTCCGCTCATCAAGGCCAGCAACATTTCTGTGCTCTGGCAATGACTCACCTCCATTTCTGCCGCTCGGAGTTGTCCAAAAAACACTTTGCCCATGAATTTGCCGAGCAGGAACACCAAGACAAAAGCCTGAATGTACAGGACCTGTCATCACAAGACAGCAAAAGAAAAAGAAAAAAGTGGTTTAGTTAACTGTGCATAAAGAAAAATACAATTTGCAAGGAATTCTGTATTGTTAACCCGTCTCTTCTTTCTGGTTACAAAAATAAGCTCCTACAGGATACAATTTTATTTGTACCCTGCTTTTGTTATTTTCCCAAATAACTCGAGGTGACACACACATCCCACGTACTTTCTTCCTATTATTCCCACAACAATTCTGTGATGCGAAAGGGACTGGCCCAAACTCACCTAGCCAGCTTTCATGCCTAAGGTGGGACTAGAATTCACCATCCTGAGGGTCACCCAGCTGGCTTTCATGCCAAGGTGGGACTAGAACTCACTGTCTCCTGACGATAGGCCCAAAGTCACCCAGTTATTTTTCATGCATAAGGCAGCAGAATTATCCTGCAATACTGCACTCTAACCACTGCATCACCGTGGTTCTTTAGTTAGTTAGCTGGTTAAATAAATAAAAATACAAAGGTAAGTAAAGAATCAATCTTTCAAACTGGCTGGAACTACACCTCCACTGCCTACATCGTCTGTAAATCTTTGCTTAGGAGCCATAGCATGTCCGAAGGGCAAGGAACTGGAGAAAAGCCACACCTAAAAGGCTACACTGAGCCCCGGTGGTGCAGTAGTTAGGAGTGCAGTACAGCAGGCTACTTCTGCGGACTGCCGGCTGCCTGCAACTTGGCAGTTCAAATCTCCCCAGGCTCAAGGTCGACTCAGCCTTCCATCCTTCTGAGGTGGGCAAAAGGAGGACCCAGAGTGCTGGGGGCAACATGGCTGACTCCGTAAACCGGTTAGAGAGGGCTGTAAAGCGGTATATAAGTCTAAGTGCTGTCGCTACTCCCGGGACCGGCTGGGAAGGGGCAAGACTCACCGCCATGCTGGGACTCGACTTGGTAAGGTACACCACGGTGGGGTAGAACTGGTGCTTCAGGTAATAGGCGTGAGCTATCACGGCGGAGGTTAAGGCCAGGCTGGCAGCCATCATGATGGCAGTCCGGAACATCTCCCCAAAGTCTGGCGCACTGCAAGGAAGAGACAGGAGCTAAATGACAGACACGCCTGAATTGGCACTCACTGCGGCGAGTGAAAAATAAAAACAGAGCTGGCAGCTGGATTTGCATGGCCACGTCTCAGTGCACCCGGGCTGCTATTCTCAACCTCTGACAGACGATGCTGTTATTGTGCAAGCATGCCTTGCTGGGACATTTCATGTGCTCCAGCGTCCTTTGCCTATGGAAAATGAAGATCTATAATAGCAACCATCCCCAGACCTGTTTTCTCCTCGTATCCTATCAACTGCAGAGGTGGAGAAGACACCGTCAGAACCTTTTTTTTTCCTGGGCTGCAATTGTTGGAATTTACTAAAACTGCAGCAGTAACAAAAGCCAAACTCTGAGAAACAATCAGGGTTTAAAAATTCAATTAAAGCAACCTCTTTCTTTAATGGACAAGACTGATTTTACTACCAACAGTCATGGGGGAAAACACTACTGTTCAAATCCCTGAATCTTAAATCTTGCTCATAAAATTCAGTAAGTACAACCTACATGTTGCTGAAGTTTATCTTAAAAATTGTAGAAACAGCCATGGGAGAAAACTCTATTGGTTAAAAACCCTGAAGCCTAAATCTTGCTCATAACAAGAAGTATTATCTACATATTTCAAAGTTTATCTTAAAAGCTACAGAAACTAAAGTAAAACAGGAGTAGCAACACAATTGTAAATGTTTGACTCAGTTCTCCATAACACACACACACACACACATCAGCTAACTGGGATTGTATCTGAAGTGCTAACTATTTCTGTTACTGGGACTTTACAATAAATATAGTGTCTATGGAGATTTTCAGTCATCCAGGTCATGGTTGTTCCAAATGTGCTTTTTCCAAAGGAAAATAGACTTTGCTTTTCCTTGAAGATGTTTCGATTCTCATCCAAGAAGAAGCTGAAGAAGCTTCTTGGAAGAGAAGAGAAATGTCTTCAAGGAAAAACAAAGTCCAGTTTCTTTTGGGAAAAGCACCTTGGGACAATAAGGTTTGTGCATCTCATCCAGCCCTATCTCAAAGAGCTTACAAGAAACTCAGGAGCTGAAATACAGAAAGATAGAACCTGTGATATCCTCCTTCCCGAATGAGTGACAAGGTGTATCTAGAGGTTGGTTGCTTAGACAGAACTTCTACAGCAACCTTGTGTTCCCCAAAAGCCCAACCAGGTATAAGTCCTACTCAGAAACGTTTACAGCAAACATGCAACAGAGATTATGTATTTTAACACAGGTTAGCCAAGCTGTACGTGACAATTAAAAGCTACAGCATGGAGCAACCTATTCCAGATCCAGAAGTTGTCATTCCAGGGATAAGGTGAGGCGCACCTGTTAGGAAGGTTCTTTGCACAAGAGCTCATAAGATTGGAGATTCAGCAGGATCTCCCATCATAGCAACCTCCAAAAATTTGTTATCAAACGCAGGCATAAATTATCTGGGTTGAAACCTGGATTTGTTTATAAACCCACCAGACAACTGTGGCTTCACAGTTTACAGCTGTGGAATTTGGGGAGTTGAAGGCCATGCATCTTAAAGCTACTGAAAAACACTACGCTAGACTGTGACGTGGGACATCCTGTTTTCCTACTTTCCAATGGGGCAAAGAGTCGTAAAACAGATAAAGTAGATTCACAGGTCTCTGCAGCAAGAGGTAGATAAGATTTTTGTGCTTTGTGTTGATCCGTGAACAAGAAGAAAAAGATAAAATACAAGTGGAGCTTCAAAACAGCAGAGAATATTCAGCTGTAATGTTTGTGTGTGTGTGTGTGTGCATATATATACTGTGTATATGTGTGTGTGTGTGTGTGTGTGTGTGTATATATATATATGTTTTCTTAAGTTTTCGCGGGTACTTACATGTATGGCATTCAGCTTTGTTCTGGTATTTTCCCACGTCATAGTAGTGGTGCTTTTAAAGTTGTAGCAACGTTTCAGCAGAATCTCATCTGCCACTGTAAAAGTCTAACTCACAGATGAACACTACACAAAAGCCTGATGATGGCAGATGAGATTCTGCTGAAACGTTGCTACAACTTTAAAAGCACCACTACTATGACGTGGGAAAATACCCAAACAAAGCTGAATGCCATATATATATATATATGTATATGTATATGTATATGTATATGTATACGCATATGTATATGTATATGTATATATATGTATATGTACACACACACACACACACACACGAAGAGTCACACCAGGAACTGCAGAAGAAGCAATGGCAGAAGCAGCAATGGAAGCAATGTGTATTATTTTTGAAATAGATACACTTAATGCTGGGGAATGTGCTTGAGTTACACACACAGAACCCCTATAAATAAGCATAACCAGTTTCATTCGGACATAAGTATACTGCCTATTTTTGAGAGGCACGATTATCGTCCCTTGAATGTATAGCATGCAAAAGAGCACCTCAACTTATAACCTTTCATTTAGCGACTGTTTAAAGATACGACACTGACAAAACTGACTTATGACTGTTTTTCACACTTATGACCATTGCAGCATCCCTGTGGATACGTGAACAAAATACAGATGATTGACATGTCTTTATGATGGTTGTGGGGTCCCCTTTTTGTGACCTTCTTACAAGCAACGTCAATGGGGAGGCCAAACTCACTTAACAACCATGTTACTAAGTTAACAACCGCAGGGATTCGCTTAATAGCTGGGGCAAGAAAGGTTGTAAAATGAGGCAAAACTAACAACTGTTTCGCTTAGCAACAGAAACATTGGGCTCCTATATGGTCATAAGTTGAGGACTACCTGTAAGTAGCACAACCCGTGACTGTTGAATAAGAGAAGACCATTTCAAAGCACAGAAAAATGCCTGAAGGGGAAAAAAAACCCTCCTAACTTTCTATCAACCCAAAATGCACGCTATGATTCTGGATCACACCCACAATTCTCATCCTTTATTTTTAAAAGTTTGCCTTTTACATCCTCATCCAACTTTCTGGTATTTATTTATTTCCCACTTTTATCATTTTTTTTTTAAATAAATCAAGATGGCGCACATACCTCATACCCCTCCCTCCTTTTCCCACAACCACCCTGTGAGGTGGCTTGGGCTGAGTGTGTGTGTGACCGGTCCAAAGTCACCCAGGTGGCTTTCATGCCTAAGTGGAACTAGAACTCCCCATCTCCCGGTGATTGGCCCAAAAGCCAGCCAAGCCAGTTCCCATGGGTAAGGCAGGACTAGAACTCCATCTCCCAGGGATTGGCCCAAAGCCACTCAGCTAGCTTTCATGCCTATTATAAGGCATGTAAATGTAAATATTTACATTTATCAAAGATCTTATAAACCTGACTGTAACCTGTAGCAATGTGACTGGTACCTTAGCATGATTATATTTATTTAAAATTGTTTGATAGCATATTATAAGTCACATTGGATGCTTAGAAAAGTAGACAGGCTAATGGTAAGCTCAATAAATCTTAGTTTCCAGGCAAAAAAAACAAGTCTATGTATCCAGGAAGCAGAGTATGGCAATTTTAAACTCCTGTTACTGTTTTTACATTTTGTTCTTGATATATTTGATGCATAAGATAGAACAATGTTATGTTTTATTAGTAACATATGGCAATCTTGAGTCGCTTCCTTTATTACTACAATTATATTGTAAGAATTTGCATCAATGTCAATCACTGTCAGTTCAGAATTGGGAGCCGAGAGACCTACCTGCTGTCACGCCCACCAATAACAACACATTACATTTAAATTGCCCACTCTGGACACACGATTTACAGGATCACAGTCACATGACATATGGGAATCATGAAAATGGCTTACAAACACGTCAGTGTTACATGCTGAATCTATACAAGGGCCTCTGAACACAGAAAGAGGAAAAATACGTTACAACGGTGTTAAAACTGTCACTGTAATTTCTTTGGGGTGCCTAGTTTTAACATATTTCTAGTCAGTTTTTCCACTGCTAAAAAAAATATGGGTACACTCAAAAGCAAGGATAAAGCCAGACACACACCCAACACCATTCAGAAAGGATCAACATATTACAAGTTGTCCTCAACGTACAACAGTTTCCTTTAGTGACCGTTTGAAGTTACAGCAGTTCTGAAAAAAGTGACTTCTGACCATTTTCCACATTTATGACCATTGCAGCATCCCTAAGGTCATGTGATCAATATTCAAATGCTTGGCAACCGGCTGTGTATTTATGACAGTTGCAATATTCTGGGGTTATGTGACTCCCTTCTGCAATCTTCTAACAAGCAAAGTCAACGATTCATTTAACAACTGTGTTACTAACGAAGCAATTACAAGCGAACCACTTAATAACTGTGGCAAGAAACATGGGGCAAAAATCTCACTCCACAAATGTCTCACTAAACAACAGAAATGCTGGGCTCAAACGGTATCTAGGAATGGGAGTGTAACTTGCTGGCTGTCACTTCCTAGCTAGAAATGGTACCTAGGAATGGGGGCTTTTCTGACTGGCTGGCACTTCGTAGCTGTAGAAATGGTACCTAGGAATGGGGGCTTATCTGGCTGGCTGGCACTTCCTAGCTATAGAAATGGTACCCAGGAATGGGGGCTTAGCTGGCTGGCTGGCACTTCCTAGCTATAAAAATGGTACCCAGGAATGGGGGCTTATCTGGCTGGCTGGCACTTCCTAGCTATAGAAATGGTACCTAGGAATGGGGGCTTATCTGGCTGGCTGGCACTTCCTAGCTATAGAAATGGTACCTAGGAATGGGGGCTTATCTGGCTGGCTGGCACTTCCTAGCTATAAAAATGGTACCTAGGAATGGGGGCTTATCTGGCTGGCTGGCACTTCCTAGCTATAGAAATGGTACCCAGGAATGGGGGCTTATCTGGCTGGCTGGCACTTCCTAGCTATAGAAA